ATGTTCTGATTAATAATAACTTATGGACCCAAAGAAAATTACCCGCAGGCATTAGATGTCTACAAAGGAGGTGGGTCAAAGAGATTTGGTGAGGTTTCAGGTGTGCATCGAATGCTTCAGTAACAACATTTTTGGAAAAGAAACGTTATCATAGAGATGTTTGTTAAATATTGATATTACCTGATATTAACTTTGCTGCACTTTTTAACAACAGTTCTTACAGTGAGGCTCATTTACTGTAACATTTCACCTTTACTCGCTTTTCAAAAGCTCTGATTCGTCAGCTTTTAGTTTTCTTCCTGTTGTTGATTCTAGGGCAGGAAAGGGAATTATTGAGTGAGTGAGTGTATTTACTCGTAGACACTGGGTTGTATGGCTGGGCACTGTGGAAGATCGCTGCCAAGGCTAAAGCAGGGATGGATATGGGTCTGAAGAAGGACCAACACTTGGAGAGAAATGCCAGTGGCACAGACGGCCTTGTACCCATCTACGAGTAAGAAGGAACTTTGATTATCACTTCTACAAAACCGCCTGTTGTCATGGGGATTTTTACCCTGAGACTTGCTATTTGTTTCTGCTTTATAGGTCTGCAGTGAGTCGAATGCTGAAAACCGATGAAACGGATGATTCATCCAACCTGCTGGTTGTGGCTGGGAAGGAGGTGGCATTGCTTGATGGGAAACATTTGGAGCTACTGTGGAGATTCAACACCAGCTCAGTCCTCAGGTAAACCCACTGTGTATGCTTTAGATTTCATGTGCATAGAATAAGAGGAAAGTGCTTAGTTACACAGCACAGCAGCTTAATTACTGCCTCAGTACAGAGTGCTTACAAGGTCGATACCGCTGAGATTGCTGGACAAATGCCATAATGCCATGGATACAGAAAGGGAAGAAGAAGAAGAAGAGCACTTACCTACATCTTTCCTACCATAATGAATACATGGCATGCATTAGTGCAATAACATAATCAGTGTTTACAGATACACTAACATTTGTGATTCTAAATTTAATACTTCACCTAAAAAAAGTTAGGCTATTAAGTAATTACAAAAACAAAAAACATCTTTATTTTATTTATTTATTTTTTCCCCTGGTGAGCAGCAGTCATAGCGGTGCAGCCCTTTCCTCACAGCAAGAAGGTCCTGGGTTCAAATCCAACATCTGGCCGAGTTTGCATGTTCTCCCCATGTTTGTGTGGGTACTCTGCCTTCCTCCTACAGTACAAAGACATGCAGTTTGTGGACTTAGGCTCATTGGTGATTATAAACATGTGTGAGTGTGGATGCATGGATGGTAGAGCTATATCATTTATAGACCTGGAAAAATAGTCCCTAAATGTGCTGTAGACATGTCCATATCCACTAAATAATTTATACATCACATTAAAATAATATATTTGCTCAGAAGTCAGATTGTGTTAAAACACAACAAAAACCAACAATCTCAAACATTCAGTATTAAATTCTGGTCATTTTTGTGGGAGAGCAAAATAAATATCAAAGTAAACCATTTGTTGTTATTAACTAGGACTCGCTGGGTGGAGAAACAGCTTTTTCTCTTTATTTTTTTCAGTGAACCCTCTTTTGGTCATTTTAACAAAGATGGTTTAATAGATGTTGTCATTGAGGAGGATATTGGCAACAACACAAAGAGGGTAAGTTAAATTGAAAACGTTACAAACAGTTTTATTTCGATGCCTGACTGCTGGCATGAGGTGATCAGTGTGAATCATAGAAAAACTAGACCACTTTGGTTTTAAATGTAGATAATAATCCTGGATGGGAAGACTGGCGGTGTGCTGTGGGAAGTCCAGCTCTTGGCCAGTCCTAATTCCCCAAGACCCGTTTCCATCGACACCACCAACTACTTCTCAGTCTTCATGTTTTGGGGCTTGATGCCCTCAGAGTCAAACTCATCTGTAAGTACACTACCTTTATGAAAATGATCATTTTACACGTTTGACTGGTTTGATCAAAGATTCAGAAACTGCTCCCTGACAGCTGCAATGTTTTCCTTTCAGGAACCAGTAACAGGTGAACGACGCTCTTACATGCTGCATCCTCTCTATTCGAATGTTCTCCTCGAGTCCACTAATGTCCTAGACCACATTATAGCATTTAAAGGTACCTCTTGTTCTTGTTTTCACTTTGTTCTAGCAAAGTTATTACTGGTACGATGTATTTCCAGGGTGTATCTGATATCCCCGTGTTGGTGTTATACCTGGATTATCTTAATTAATGTTGGTCCAGGTTCAACGTTGCAAGTGACCAATCACATGTTGATGACATAGTTTTGTGACTTGGAATAAAAAATCCAAGCAACGTGATTGGTCACTTGCGATGTTGAACCTGGACCAACATTAATTATGATGTTTAAGAAACAACACAAGGAAATCAGATCGAGCAGTGTTTTTTTTTTATTTATTTATTTATTTATTTTTGGGTAACTTATATATTTTCATTGTAGCCACGCTGATGGAGCGTGGGCGCCATGCTGCCTACATCCTGCTGATAGGCCCTAAGGAGGAGGGAGCCGAAGGCACCGTGGTTCTCAGCAAGCGCAAGCTGAAGGAGGACGTTCCCGACAGCAAAGTACTCCGTTTTGGCGACGGGACTACAAAATCCAACGAGGACATTAAAGAGGCCTTCAACCGACTCCGCTTTAGCGATTGGTGAAAAGACCGGCTGTAACCTGTGCAGTATATCCTCGGTTTTATGGTGACTTAACTTGATTTTCAAAACCAAAGTTGTTGTACACGAATTGTGACTTTCCAACTGCTGACCAGCAAAGAAACTCCTTTATCTTTAGAAGACTTTAGGTTGATTTGCTTTGACAGGGATGTTCTCCAGTGGGCAAACTGGACATTGTCTGTATTCACTCTTCTTCACTGCATATCCTTCATATTGTCAAAACTCTAAACCTGTATAGAATCAGAAAAAAAGCTGCTGTTCACTGACAATCACTCTACTCAGACTGCTGTTCTCCTGCTGATAAACCCATCAGATCTGCCTTTATGTATTGTTTCTAGCAATTTCATGCATTGGTGCAATGATCATTAAAGACAGTAGAAGCTGGACTGTTCAGATCTATGCAACTGTATGTTACGCTGTGCTTTAAAGGTAGCAGATGCATGCCACTACCCAGGCTTTTGAGTGTTTCAAATTAAAAACAGCCTAAATAAAATAGATACACAGTTGTAAGGCTGGTTTATGGTGTAAACTAAATGTTATGTGTTAAATTTGTAAGGGATCCTGTCTGTGAAAGTATCAATAAGGCACTCTGGCAGTCAACAGTACTGATGTTGACATCGATGACCCCTTATCGTTACTTACTTAATCCAACATGCTGTAAGATGTAATGCTATATAACGCACACTCACAACACTTCCAGTCAATGCTGTATCAAATAATAGAGTTATTGCTGTGGTTGAACAGCTCCTTATGAAGCTGTTTTCCCTTGGTAACTTATATTAAGGTTGAAGACGAGGTTCTTATTTTTGCTGAACATGGACATATTGAACCTGTGAAAGAGGCCTTTATTGGAGATGACTTTACTTTCTGACTTGTAATGAAATGTTTGGATTTGAGCTATATTAAAATATTTTTAAAGAAATTGCTTTTGTTTAATCTAAATGAATAAAAACAGGCCGTTTGTCGCCATCTTGTGGACGCACACA